ACAGCAGCTGGGGATGAGCTCATGAATATTCCCAGCCCCAAAGCAGAGCCCAAAGCTGAGCCCTCAGCAATCCCAAAGCCATATCCCAGTCATGAAGTCCCAAATCCCTGCTCTGACACCTCTGGAAGGGCTCAGGCTTTGGGATCAGGCTTTGGGATCAGGCTGTGAGATCAAACTTTAGGATCAGCCTTTAGACTCAGGCTTGGGCTCATGTTTTGGGGTTATCCTTTGGTCTCAGCCTTTGGGCTCACCCTTTGGATCAGCCTTTGGGCTCAGACTTTAGGATCAGCCTTTGGGCTCAGACCTTAGGATCAGCCTTTGGATCAGGTTTTGGGATCGCCCTTTGGATGAGGTTTTGGGATCAGGTTTTGGGATTACCCTTTGGGCTCAGGCTTTGGGATGGGGTTTTGGGATCAGGCTTTGGATCAGCCTTTGGGATCAGGTTTTGGGATCACTCTTTGGGATTAGGCCTTGGATCAGGTTTTGGGGCCACCCTTTGAGATCACTCTTTGGGATCACCCTTTGGGATCTGATTTTGGGATCAGCCTTTGGGATCATCCTTTGGGTCAGATTTTGGATCACCCTTTGGGATCACCATTTGGATCAGGTTTTGGGATCACACTTTGTGCAGCCCCACAGCCTCTTTCTTCCCCCTTGGAAGGGAAATTCCCGTTGCCATGGTTTTGGGAAGCAAACCCCATCCTCCAAACCAGGAGAGCTGGGACAGCCCTGTGGGATGTCCCTTCCCTATCCCCAGCCCTCCTCACCCCACATCCCCTGCCTGGATCTGTTGAAAATCCAGGTGGAAAAACCAAGGTAGAATTTCTTCCCCTGCCAGACCCGGGTGCCATCAGAGCTTTTGTAGGTTTTGTTTTGTTTCCTTTTCCAGCTTTTTCCTCACTCCTACAATCCTCCCTCATGGCTCTGTGGGGGAAAAAGTCATTAAATACACACCTACGTCCTGCTTTTATCACTGATCTGATTATCTTGTAATTCCCTCCCCAAGCAGCAAACGAGTGTGAACCGAGTTCTATCCAATTTCAAGGGATTTGTAAATAATCTGGGAGTAATAAAAAAATGGGGAAAAAAAAGGGGAGGGGGGGAAAATCCTGTCTTTGTCATTTCTGCTTTTCCTTTGTACTAAAATTTAAGGGATTTTATTCCATGTAGCCATGCAAATCCACTTAGGTCTGCGTCCAGGGAGGAAGGAGGGGTGGGAGGGGACAGGGAGGGACTCACTGCCCACCTGAGCCACTCCCAGGGCTGCCAAACCTGAGTCAGGCCCAGGAAAATTTCCCTGCCCAAATTCCCTGCAGGGAAACAAATCACCCGTGGTTCACCCCGCAAAGGACAAAAAGTGGATTATTGTGATTTTTTTAATATTTATTTTTCTTTTTTGTGGTTGGGTTTTGCTGGAGGAATTTTTAAACTTAAAACGTGGAATGTTTGCGGGGGGGATTTTCACAACAGCTCAGGTCCCACCACGGGGAAATCCAGGTGGATTCAGGGAGGCATTTCAGGACCTGGCCTTCACCCCACGCTCCTCAGGAGCCCAAAGCTCCACTGGGATCTGTTCCAGCTCCTCTCCGGGGCTCCCTTGCTCTGGGAAGGTTTCCAGGTGACTCCGCAGTGAAGCAACCGCGGCTCCGAGGCGGCTGCGGGGGAGGCGGTGGCACCGGGGCGAGTTCTGACAGGATTGGGATGGGATGGGATCCATGGAATGGGATGGGATGGGATGGGATCCATGGGATGGGATCCATGGGGTGGAATGGGATGGGATGGGATGGGATGGGACGGCATTTATGGGATGGGATGGGATGGGATGGGATGGGATGGGATCCATGGGATGGGATCCATGGGATGGGATGGGATTTATGGGATGGGATGGGATTGGGATCCATGGGATGGGATGGGCAGCACTGCATAGGAAACCCCTCCCAAGGAGCAACCACGCCATCCCTCCACTCTGCAGGGATTTTCCAGGCCAATTCCTTTGGGAAGGAGGCCCCCACCCCATGGCTGGGCTGAAATTCCTGCACAGCCAGGTCCATGGGGCAGGTGGTGCCAAGGATAGGATGGGATCCATGGGATGGGATTGGGATGTAATAGGATAGGATGGGATGGGATAGGATGGGATTAGAATCGGATTGGGATGGGATAGGACAGGATGGGATGGGATTGGATGGGATGGGGCAGCCAGGCAGGTCAAGGTCCAGCCCAGGAGGAGCCGAGCATGCCCTCGGGGACAGCCCAGGGACAGCCCAGGGACACCGCAGGGCTCTTTCCCCCGCAGCCCCCCCACGGTGTTGGAATTGCTGAGCTCCCAGCCCAGAGAATTCCTGGCAGCTCCAGCCTCTGGCCCAGCTGGAGCAGATCCCTCCTGTTTGTGGTTTGCTATAGAAACACGGAGCTCGCTGACAATGAATCATCACCATTTTCCTGGGCCTCTTCCCTCGTGGAATCCTGCTGAACCCTCTCTGTGCTCACGTGAACTTGCTTTCTTGTTCCTCTCCTTCTCCTTGTCCTCCTGTTTCTACTTCTATTTTTACCTCTCCCTCTTCTTCTCTTCCTTCTCCTTCTCCTCCCTCTCCTCTTCTTTCTTGACCTCCCCCTCTTCCTTCTCCTCCTTCTCTTCCTCCTCCTCGTTCTCTTCCTTCCCCTCCTCCTCCTCCTCCATCTCCTCCTCCCCCTCTCTCTTCTCCCTCCCTTCTCTTCTCCCTTCTCCTTCTCCTCCTCCTCCTCCTTCTCCTTCTTTTTCCTTTTCCTCCTTCTCCTTCTCTCTCTTCCTTTCCTTCTCCCTTCTCCCTCTCTTCTTCTTCCTCCTTGTTCTCTTCCTCCTCCTCCTCCTCCTCCTTCTCTTCCTTCCCCTCCTCCTCCTCCCCCTCTCTCTTCTCCCTCCCTTCTCCTCCTCCTTCTCCTTCATTTTTCTCCTCTTCCTCCTCCTCCTCCTCCTTCTTTCTCCTCCTCCTTCTCTCCCTCCTCCCTCACTCCGGAGCTCCCAGAGTATCGGATTCCATCCCTGCTCTCGGGGCTGTGGGAGCTGCTCAGCCCAGCAGAGACACCGAGGGAGCTGCCAGGAAACGGCGTCAGGAAAAGGCAGGGGGTGGATCTCGTCTGCCATAAATCACCTCAATCCCATAAATCCCCTAAATCCCATCAATGGCAGCCCCACTCTCTGTTCCTGCTCCTGTCAAAGCCCGGGAGGGCAGGGCCAGGACTGGGGTCGCGCCTCCCGCCCAGTCTCGGAGAACTGGGGCGGCTCCCACTGGGTAATGGAGCAAATCCTGGGGCTGAGATCCCTGGGCTGTGCCAGAGGTTGGAGATCCAGCCATGGGACACCATCCCATCTGTGGAGCACAATGATCCCAATGTCATGGAAAACCATCCCAATCCCACGGGACACAATGGTCCCAATGCTACGGAACACAATGATCCCAAGATCATGGGACACCATCCCCAACCCCACGAAACACAATCCCAATCCCATAGGGCACCATCCCAACCCCACGGGTCACGATGATCCCAAGGCCATGAGACACAACGATCCCAGCCCCATGGGACATGATCATCCCAATTCCAGTGGACACCATCCCAACCCCGTGGGGCACAATGATCCCAGTGCCATGGGAAACCATCCCAACCCCATGAAACAATCCCAAGCCTATAGGGCACCATCCCAACCCCATGGGACACAATGATCCCAATCCCATGGGACACCATTCCAATCCTATGGGACACAATGGTCCCAATGCCATGGGACACAACAGTCCCAATCCCACGGGACATGATGATCCCAATCCCACAGGACACGATCCCAACCCCATGGGATACAATGATCCCAATACCATGAGCACCCAGCAGCCCAATGTGAGACTGAAGAGGGATCCTGGGCTGAAATGGGGGATCCCGGGCTGGAATGGGGGATACTGGGCTGGAGTTGGGGATCCTCTTCTGAAATTGGGAATCCTGTACTGGAACTGGGGATCCTGGGCTGAAATGGGGTCCTGGGCTGGAATGTGGATCCTATTTTGGAATGGGATCCTGTCCTGGCTCGGGCGATCCCCCCTCCCCGCATACCGGACCGGGCCGCTGGACAAGCCCAGATGTGTCCAGGACAAGCCCAGATGTGGCACCAGCAGCCCGGGGGATTCCTGAGCGCTGCGTCAGCGCCCCGGCCCCGCGCGGGGCAGGTGGAAAACTCCGGGCAGGAAACTCCGGACAGGAAAATGCGGGCAGGGAGCGGCTCCCCAGGTGAGGAGGAGGAGGAGGCGAACCCCCCCCGGGGCCGGTGGGCAGGGACGGAAGGGATGTGGCAATGTCGCTGCACCTCCAGCCCCGTTCTAGGCTGCCAGCGAGCAACGGGAAGGACAAGGAGCTCGAAAATCAGGAGCAGGACCAACCTCACCTGCTTGGGCTACGGAAATCGGGGCCCACCTGAGTGGATTTAGCAGAGACCTTCGGGGTTTCCCTTAGAGCGTCCCTCGCACTCCGGCGAGCCCAGGAGGGGTCAGGAGGGCTCAGGTCCCCCCTGGCCCAGCAGCTCCAGCCCCCTGAGCAGGTTGAGGGCGGTCAGAGGGGATCGTGTCCCTGCTGGTGCCATCAGGCTGTGGCGTGAGCCGGGCACAGCCCAGGCCGGGGTTTTGGAGCTCAAAGTCCTCGCTGCGAATGCAGCAGAACAGGAACTTCAGCCCGGACCTTTCCCGGCCGGGCGGGCTCCTGGCTGCTCCCCCGCGCCCTCGGCTCCGTTCCCACAGCACCGGACCCAACCCCAGCTCCGGCGAGCCCGGATGCACCCGCAGGCCCTTCTCGCTCAGCATCCGAGCAGAAAACGGCGCTCCTGCCCCATCCCCAGCCCGGGGAGCGGAGGAGGGGCCGGGGGCGCGGAGGAGGGGCCGGGGGCCGGCGCACAAAGGCGGGGGCTGCGCTGGGGCGGGCCCGGTGCGCGGGCGCGGGGTCCGGGCTCCTCCTCCGCCGCCGCCTCGCCGGGGATGCTGCGGCCGGGCCGGCTCCGGGAGCCCCGCGGAGCCCCGCGCCGCGCCGAGGAGCCAGCGGCCACCCGAGGTGGGCACGGGGGACACCGGGGGGACACCGGGGGGCTCCAGGCAGGGAACGCGTGGGGGAAGCGCTGGTGGCACCGGGGGACGCTGATGGGACACCGAAGGGCTGAGATGCGCGATCGGGGCTCCCCGCAGTGCGATGGTTTTGGGGTGACCCCCACGCCGGGCACGATGCCCCCGCACCGTCCCTCTCCCGGTCCCGCCCCGGGACCGGGCTCGGGCTCGGTCACAAAGAGCCGGGATGGCCCCGGGAGAGCGGCCGGACTCGCCCCCGCTGCCGGGTCCCGTCCCTTCGGCCGCTCGCAGCCTCCCCCGCAGCTCAGCCCTGGCTCTTTTCGCTTCCCTCTGAAGTCTGGCAAACTTCTTTTCACACGGCAGCGAGAAAATTCTGCCTGTTCAGCAGCACCTCGGTGCGGGCTGCCTCGGGTTACAGAGCTCCGGCAAGGAGGGGAAGGAAGGGAAAGAGCGGATGGATGGATGCCTTTGGTTTGTTGTCACCAGCTCGGAGCCACCCCGGCTGAGGGGCTGCCTGCTCCACGATTCCTCCTGCCGGAATTTTTCGCCGCTGGAGCTGCGCGGGGGCAGCGCCGGGTGCGTGGGAGGCGAGGAAGGAGCGCGGGGGCCCCTGCGGGAAACGCCGAGCGCACCTGGATGGATGCGGCAACTCCGGCCCTGCCAGGGCCCTTCCCGGGGCTGCCCCCGCTCCAGGCCGGGCTCTGCAGCCCGGGCAAGGCGGGGGAGGGAGGGCAGAGCCGCCCCGAGGCCGCGCAGCTCCTCCTGGACAGCCGGGGAGGAATCGCGCCTGGAAAAGCGGCGCTGGAGCGCTGCCACGGCCGGGCTGTCACCGCTCTCACGGTGACACCGAGCGCTCGCTGGGGACACATCCAGGTGCTGCCTGGGGGAGACCGAGAGCGGGGACACGTCCTGGCAGGCGGCATTCCCGTCCTGGCACACGGTATTCCCGTCCCTGCCGAGCCCCCCGAGCCCTGTTCGCTCAGTGACATCTCCCGAGGGACCCGGGGTCCCCCCTTGGTGTGGCAGGAGGGTCTCACCCCCATGAGAGGGTCCGGGCGTCGTGTGGGACCCCCCCCAGTGCTGATCCCCCCCTCCATCCCCAGGGATCTGTCCCCATCCCTCGGTGTCACTGCAGGGGTGGCACAGCTGCATCCCTGCTGGGGTTGCTTTCCTGCTGTCCCCTCCTGCCACCACCCACCCCCTGTGGCACCAGCAGGGCCCGAGGGGTTCCTGTCTGTGTCCTGTGACCTTCTCCTCCCTCGGGCAGCCAGGAGGGACCAGTGTGGGCCCCCTTTTTGGGAGCAGGGTCCCGTTTTTGGGAGCAGCCCCGTGGGTTTCCACAGGAGCCCCCACAGCTGCCCAAACCCTCCCCAGAGCTCCTCTTCCACGAGCAGAGAAAAAAAAACACCTCCTCCATCATCAACCATCAAACAGGAAAACTGATTTACCTGCCCTGGGAAGCTCTGCCAGGGATTCCTGGCCAGTGTCACCCACCAGTCCTGGCCAGTGTCACACTCTGTCCCCTGTGTGTGTGTGTCCAGCTCACCTCTGTGTCCCCAGCCAGGCCCTTCCAGTGTCACTCTGTCCCCTGTGTCCCAGTGTCTCCAGCCAGGCTTTTCCCGTGTCACCCTCTGTCCCTTCCGTGTGTCCAGCTCACCTCCGTGTCCCCAGCCAGGCTTTTCTAGTGTCACATTCTGTCCTTTCCCTGTGTCCAGCTCACCCCTGTGCACCCAGCCAGGCCCTTCCAATGTCACCCTCTGTCCCCTGTGTCCCCAGCCCGGTTTTCCAGTGTCACACTCTGCCCCCTGTGCACCCAGCCAGGCTTTTCCAGTGTCACACCGTCCCTTCTGTGTGTCCCTGTGTCCCCAGCCAGGTTTTCCAGTGTCACCCTCTGTCCCTTCCCTGTGTCCAGCTCGCCTTTGTGCACCCAGCCAGGCCCTTCCAGTGTCACACTTTGTCCCCTGTGTATGCCCCTGTGTCCCCATCCAGGCTTTTCCAGTGTCACTCTGTCCCCTCTGTGTGTCCCTTTGTCACACTCTGTCCCCTGTGTGTGTCCCTGTGTCCCCATCCAGGTTATCCAGTGTCACATTCTGTCCTTTCCCTGTGTCCCCAGCCAGGTCCTTCTAGTGTCACACTCTGTCCCCTGTGTCCCCAGCCCGGCTTTTCCAATTCCACACTCTGTCCCTTCTGTGTGTCCAGCTCACCTCTGTGTCCCCAGCCAGGCCCTTCTGGTGTCACTCTGTCCCCTGTGTGTCCCCTGTGTCCCCAGCCAAATTTTCCAGTGCCACCCTCTGTCCCCTGTGTCCCCATCCAGGCTTTTCCAGTGTCACTCTGTCCCTCCCCTGTGTCCAGCTCACCCCCGCTCCCCCATCCAGCTTTTCTCGGGGGCGCTGCCCAGCCGCTCCTCTCGGCCCATTAATTAATTACCAACCCCATTAATGAGCGCCACAAAGAGCTGCGAGTGCGAAACCCTCTCCGTCAGCGCTGGGGGCAATTAATGGCAGCTGCAAAAGCGCATTCGGCGGCACAACCGCGGCTCGGGGGATGCTCCGGAGCCCCCGGGGGAGCCGGCGGGGCCGGGAACGGGAACGGGGCCGCTCCGTCCCTCCCACCCCGTTACTCAGCGCTGCCGAGGGGGGGAGGAGAAGGCAGGAGAGGTTCAAACAGTAAAATGAGAGATCTGGAGGAGCCCAGAGCCCCCCGGGTGTGGGGGATGCCAGGGCTGTGCGGCGCCGTGCCCGGGTGTGCAGGGCAGGGAGGATGCTCTGCTGTGGAGGGGACGGGGATCCATCCATGGGGTCTGAACCGGGGGTCCGTCCCAGGGTTTTGTCCCAGGGATCTGTCCATGGAGTCTGAACCAGGGGTCTGTCCCAGGGGTCAGTCCCAGCAAAATGAGAGATCTGGAGGAGCCCAGAGACACCCGCCAGAGCCCCCTGGGCATGGGGGATGCCAGGGCTCTGTGGTGCCGTGCCCGGGTGTGCCAGGCAGGAGGGGCAGTGAGGATGCTCTGATATGGTGCTCACAGGGGTCTCAGGTTGAGGGAAGAGACGAGGATCTGACTCCATGTTTAGAAGGCTGATTTATTATTTTATGATATATATTACATTAAAACTATACTAAAAGAATAGAAGAAAGGATTTCATCAGAAGGCTGGCTAAGAATAGAAAAAGAATGAATGATAACAAAGGCAGCTGTCCCAGACTCTCTGTCCAAGCCAGCTGACTGTGATTGGCCATTAATTAGAAACATCCCCATGAGACCAATCACAGATGCACCTGTTGCACTCCACAGCAGCAGATAACCATTGTTTACATTTTGTTCCTGAGGCCTCCCAGCTTCGCAGGAGGAAAAATCCTAAGGAAAGGATTTTCGTAAAAAGATGTCTGCGACAATGCTCCACTGTGGAGGGGACAGGGGTCTGTCCCAGGGGTCTGTCCCTGTCCCAGGGTCTGTCCCAGCTCCTCCTGCCCCCCTCGCTCTCTCCTCAGCCCCAAATCCCTTTTCCCTCCCTCAGCAAGGCTCAGGCTGCAGCGGGCAGGTCCGGTCATGCTCAGGTGAGGCTCAGGTGAGGCATCCCCGGCACGCAGAGAGGGGCAGCACCGAGCAGCAGGGCCGGGAATCCGATCCTTGGGAGCATCCCAGAAACCCCTGAGAGCCCGAGCCGAGCTCCAGGGGCCCTTCCTGGGACAGAAGCCCAATTCCCCAATTCCAGCTCTTTCCCCCTCTTCCTTGGCTGTAGGAAAAATCCCCAATTCCAGCCCAATTCAAGCCCTTGTCCCCCATTCCTGGCTGTAGGAAAAAGCCCCAAACCAGCCCAATTCCAGCTCTTGTCCCCCATTCCTTGGCTGGAATAAAAATCCCAAAACCAGCCCAATTCCAGCTCTTGTCCCCCATTCCTTGGCTGGAGGAAAAAGCCCCAAACCAGCCCAATTCCAGCTCTTGTCCCCCATTCCTTGGCTGGAATAAAAATCCCCAAACCAGCCCGATTCCAGCCCGATTCCAGCTCTTTTTCCCTCTTCCTTGGCTGTAGGAAAAATCCCCAAACCAGCCCAATTCCAGCCCCTTGTCCCTCATTCCTTGGCCATAGGAAAAAGCCTAGAGTCACCCAGGGCTGGGAATTTGATAATTTTGAGCATCCCAAAGATCCCTGAGAGCCCTTTTCGGGACACAGAGTCACCCAGGACCAGGAATCCAATCCTTTTGAGCATCCCTAAGATCCCTGAGGTCCCTTTTCGCGACAAAGAGTCACCCAGGATGAGGAATGGGATCCTTTTGAGCATCCCAGAGATCCCTGAGAGCCCTTTTCGGGACACAGAGTCACCCGGGGCCGCCGGCAGAGCTCGGTGCTGCGTGGCCAAGTGTGAATCCGTAGTAGCACCGCAGCTATTCCTGGAGCTGCTGCTGCTGCAAAAAAAAAAAACTGCTCCTAAAGCTGCTAAACCTGCTGCTAAAACTGCTCCTAAAGCTGCTCCTGCGGCAGCCCAGCCTGGCCGTGGCTCCGTGGCAGCTCCATCCTGCAGGAATCAGGGAACGCTCAACCCTGACAGGAAATTTGGAGAGGATTTTTCCTGTCCCCCCCTGAGCATTGCCTGCCATGTTTATAAATCCCCTCTCTCTCGGGAGGCCCCCAAACCCACCCCTCCCTGATTTATTCGCTGTTCCTCGGTCCCAAACCCACGCCCTGCCTGATTTATTCGCTGTTCCTCGCTGGCCAGCTGCCCTTTGGGGGGGATTTTTCCAGGAGCAGCAGCCCCAGGCAGGGTTTTCCATTCGGGATTAGTTAAAAATAGCAGGGAATGCACAAAGATCCGGCACGTGGGGCTTTCCCTGCTGCCTGCCCTGGTTTTGTGCTGCTCCCCTGGCTGGGAGAAGCCTCTGAAAGCACCAAGGGATTCCTGGTTTTTTGTGGGAAGCCCTAAATGGGGTCATTCCCTGGGTTTGGGGAGCCAAATCCTGCATGAGCAGTACTGGGGTTCCTGCAGCAGCAAA